TTTACCGCTAAGCTCTATCTCCAACAGGAACGAAATGGCGCGGGGGGGGGTGGCAACCACCCCCCCCCCCCCATGTGCGTTCTAGGATGGGAAAATGGCATGTGCGGGCGAGGGTTAAACATTCGTCAGTCAAAGCCAACCGTTGAGATTGGTAAAACCCTACATTACTTTAGCGGTGGGCTGTACATACCGCTCCGTTGCAACATGTCATATTACTGATTTGCAGAATGGTCGTAAAATTATCATATAAAACTCATCGCTCATAGGAAATATTTAACTGAAATACATATGATTATCAAAATGAATGCTTCTTTCACTGCGTTTTGTATGTTAAATTTAGATATGCCGACGCTGCCAAGTACCAATGTGCGGCCATTTCATGCCTGTTCCTTTCGATATTTCTTACACTGGCAATTATATTAACCCTCGCGGGCCCGGGGGGGGGGGGGCGTTTTTCGCCCCCCCTCCCCTGGCGAATATTTGCGATAGCTCCCGAACGCTTAGGGATAGGAAAGCGAAACTTTCAGTACCTTTTCTCCCATCAATTTGACATCTTCTGAAGTAAAAATTTTTGACCTAGCCCCCTTGATGACGTCACAAGGTCGATTTTTCTAGACCCCTGCAAGGCAAACTTCGGCGTCACAGACGCGAACTTCAAATAGCTGCTAAAAATAGAGTTTTAGAGATAAAGACAAATTACGAGCACGGTTGTGTAGCGTTTGAACTAGAGAAAAATAGAAAAATAGTTTTGGTGACCTGAGGTCAGAGGTCAGGTCAACGACCCCGAAATGTGGTTTTAGTTTTTCGCAAATAACTTCGACAAAAATGGGCCTAGAGCTACGGCAGTGGTACCATCGCATTCGTCGTGTCAAGCCGCGTCGAATGATATATATTTTGTTTGGAAAAGGTCAAATTTTATGTTGACCTCATGTGACCTCGAATGACATTTGGTTGACCTTGACACATGAAAGGTCGTTTATGATGGATTTGTACCCGCTGATCACGAATCTGGCATCCATTTTCCTCTAAGCCTTCATTTAGAGCTTCCGGATGGCAAAATTGTCTTATTTATTATTACTAACTTGAATTAGTGAAATAGCCTCTAGCAAGGATACTCTTCTGTGACCTTGACCTTTGAGCAGCCTTGTATCGTAAGATGAACCACAAATAGGGAACTGATAAGCCTCCAAACATTTCAAAACGTCTTGGAAGTTAGCACGCAAGATGTACGAAAAAGTGTTAAGTTTGAGGTCAATTGTGAGCGTGACCTTGACCTTGACGTTTGATTTTGAGCACATATTCGGAATCCTCAGATTCTCTTCTTTCGTTTGATACCCAATTTTGCCGGTTTGATGCATCCTGCCATCCTCTAGAAGGCTTACTTTGAGATCACTACACATGTGCCGGTTTTTGCCTTTGACCTTGACCTCTGACCTTGAAAATTGACCTGAGGTAAAAAATTTTAGGTGCTGTAGAATCATCTCGTAGGGACCTTTCGTTTGGTATCGCTTTTGTTTGCGTAGCTCCCTTATTTACGGAGTTAGACAGGGGGGCGAAAACGCCCCCCCCCCCCGGGCTGCGGTGGTTGGGATTACCCCCCGGGCCCGACCGCGTTAACCAGTAAAACGCCTTTTGGGCGAAGAACGAGCGAGCGAGATAGTGAGCCCTGCACGTGCGGAAGGGCGAGAGGGTACTTCCAACGGGCTTGCGCTAAGCACCCTTCTAACCGGTCGCTAGCGGTGTACTAAATTTGAACGCAGTCGGCCCAGCCGTTCCTGAGATCTGGAAGCGGCATTCTGCACGTGCGCACGTGCAAACGGGGTCCAAACTGACTTTGCACTGCACCCTACTAACTGGTCCCCAACCGTGTATCAAATTTGAGCGCAATCGGCCCAGCCGTTCTCGATATCTGGAAGCGCCCCCTGCACGTGCGCACGTGCAGTAGCACCTTAACCGCAACACATGGGAATGCATTGCCTGGTGGGTGCCTACCTGTATGCCAAGTTTCAGCGAAATCGCCCCAGTAATTACCGAGTTATTAAAATGGGAACAAATTTGACACCTCTTATTGTTGTATTTTGCACGTGCACTGGGGGTGACCCACATGCATCGAGAGTATCCTATTTTTGGTAGAAGGGATGCTGCTACCCTACAAAAATTACCGCAAGTCAATCGCCCAAGCGGCTGCTGAGATATGAGCCTCTCAAAATCACTACTTTTGCAAAACAGTTTGAACACCCTTGACTTTTCACGTGGCGCGTGCCACGACGGTCACTGAGGTGTATCAAAAGTAGTCAATTACGGGGTAGAAGGGATGGGGCTACCCAGCAAAAAAGACCGCAGGCCAATCGGTCCAGCGCGAGCGGTTGCTGAGATATAAGCCTCTCAAAAGCGTTACAGGCCGGGCCGGGCCGGGCCGGGCCGCTCATACTGAGATTTTCCCGTTATATTGAAAAGACTCGCTTCGCTCGCTGCGCTCGCTCGCTCGTAATTAATTAAATTGAAAAAAAAAACAAGTGCATGGACTAGAGCAAATGTACAGTCCTCAGCAGACTGCGTGGTAGGCATTCTTTTTTCGACAAAACCAGTCATAGCTCAAAGACTATGTTGTCAGTCGGTCGGAACTCACTAGAAATAGAGGCGCCATGCTCTACTCCTTCGATTGGGTATATCACTAAACAAAGTATATGCCTTGTGTAGCAACAAAATGCGAAAGTTTGTTTTGGGGGCAAATATAAACTTTTGGGTTTTGTTGCCAAACTGGATGGAAAATGAATGGGGTTTTGTTGCCAAACTGGATGGAAAATGAATGCGATGGTAATGCCAATCTAAGGTGCGGAGTCTCGCGCATCTTGCTGTTATGATTTTCGAGCGACCGATAGCATAGTATCCGCGTTATTCTCGGTTTTGTCGAAGAAGGAATACCTACCACGCAGTTTGCAGAGGGCTGTACCTACATTGCAAAGAATCTAAAATAGCAGGGGCGTCGACGCGTAAGGAAAACTGGTCCGACTTTTTCTCGGGAGGCCCCCACCGGTGGGGGCCCCGCGAAGGGCCCCGCGAAGGCGCAGCAGGGCCCCCGTTGCCGCAGCAGGGCCCCCCGTGGCCGCAGCAGGGCCCCCGTGGCCGCAGCAGGGCCCCCGAGAGCCCCAACAGGGGCCCCCCGCGGCCGCAGAAGGGGACCCCGCGGGCCGCAGCAGGGCCCCGCGGTGTCTAGCAGGGCCCCAGAGGCGCAGCAGGGCCCCCGCGATCTCTAGCAGGGCCCCCCGAGCCGCAGTAGGGCCCCCGCGGTCTGCAGCAGGGGCCCCCGCGAGCCACAGCAGGGCACCGCCTAGTCGAAAAAGTGGTCCGACTAGTCGGAAAAGTCGGACCGGTGTCGACGCCCCTGTAAAATAGCGAATAAACTGAAAGAAAGGAGTGCAAAATAGATACTTCGATATAAGGGTAGTGTTGTCGCCTGTCGGACTTACTCTACCCACAGGGCATTGTCGCGCCAGCAGTCGCCTTTTCGCATACCTATATGTTTTGTATCATGACCGTAATTTTTTTTCGCAATTGTTTTCCTTTTAAATTGATATCTCGAGGTGGAAACAAGAAAGCCCCTTATTTATGTAATTGGACGTCTAGCCTCCGAATTTCTCAGAATTCCAAAGGCAATATCAGACGACTTCATAATCAAATCTACGGAGAATGGTTGAGGCTGCAATACACTTGGCACACGATTTATAGGTATCTACCACCTTCTGCTTCTGACTCTGGTCAGGGATAGCTTTGTCAAGAACCCCGAAAGCCGTCCACATGCTAAATAAAAATAAATATGATCCTTGTTTTAGTTGATCACGTTGACGGCTAAGATAATTTTCGAAGATGAAATATATGCAGGCAGGGCAGCGTAAGCGGTAGACTGATCCAACATCGCTAATCCCCTGCAGTCTTGTCACCAGTGCAGTTGAGGCGTTTTTATGCGTTGCTCATCCCTGGACAGCTGTTCGATCTTCACTAATCGCTGCACGCGCTCTGCACCTCAATGCTAGCACATGCTAGAAATGCCCCCTGGCAGCGCCGTTGTGCCCCGAGGCGATAGGTCACGTGACCGTCTCGGCGGGCGGCGGAGACCGCTTGTCCTTTCCTGTTGCTAAGCGAGTGGGCCATGGGGAGGGGAGGAAGGGCGAGCTGCTGCGTGCCACGCAGTGTATGTGATGCGGTCGTTCGGGGCAGTGACTTCATAGGACTCGGGAATGAGACTGTGAATGAACGTGTGATTTGTTTGTTGCACTAACTCTAGTTTCGAGAACGATTTCCGTGAAAGAAGGGTGACGGAGACATTACATAGCAGAGCGAACTTCCTTGCACGTTTCTCCAAGATAAAAATGGACTCAACGAGACATCCTGAAAGGTAAGTTATGCTACCAGCTAAACACGTCTCCGTAGTATTATATCGTGGCTCTGTATGTCAGTCTCATATGTCTTACGGGATGTTATGCCATGTGGCATGTGCTTTCCTTCCCTCGAGAAAGAGTTTGGTTAGGGAAGTGGAATTGTATATCCCTACCTATAGTTTTGCCCTATCTAAGCTCTGCTCTAAGCTGTGATGCTTGGCGAAAGCACACGAAAACTTCGATTGAGCGACATCGGTGCCCTTTCAAAATGAATGTGTAGCATTTATGACAGTTACATCTTAGCTAAGGAAAAGGCACCTAATTAAGTTGGGGCACTTCTCCCCCTCTTCCCCCCCCCCATCTTGATGTTCCGAGCATGAACTCGAGAGACGGATATGAGTGAGGACTTGATTTATTCAAAATGCCATATCAAGTCAAGGAAAAAAGACATGTTTTTTGAAAATATACAACAGGATGACAACGGTAAGGTTGACAGTCATTTCCATTTCTTGACTCTTACCTTTCCAATCCAGCGTCTTTCCCGGACAATATAGCTCGAATCCTTTCTATTCGAGAGAGGAAATGATCGACAGAATTCATGAGGTAATTTAAAACTAGGCAGTATTTTATGAATATATTTCCAATGAAATGCAAAAATATTAGTCATGTTACATCAAAACACCTGCATTCCCATCTACTCTGACCAATTGACCGAATTGGTGATGGGGTTTAGACGATTGCGGCCTAGACATAGACCCTCACGCCCAACAGGTTTGAATGCAGCGTTACGATTGCATAGAGGCAAATTACAAAAAAATGGCATCAGGTGCTCTCACATCTCCTCACTCCTGGATGATCGTAGTAGAAACCCAGAACAAATTCCGCGAGTAACATAAAGCTTGAGTTCCAAGCTCCTAAACAATAACTTAATTTTAACCGTTCATGTAAAGGCGATACATGCATGTGCTCGAGACGGGACAAGAAGTTTGTGTATCCTTCGGTAGTTTAAGAGCGTTTATATGCTGTACTGATACACGCAGGAAATAGTGCAAGACACGAGTTTGGAATCTCGTTACATACCTAAATTAAAATATATTAAAATAACTACAACTTGCGCTCACTCATTCATCTTCACTGCTCTAAAAACCAAGGCGACCTCAATTAGCTTCTTAGATTCTTCCGTTAGCAACCGCTCAGCTATAACAATATGCACATCATTTCTGGCGCTGTAAAACTGAAGCTGACAATATGGCACAAACGGTGTCTCGGAATGGGCTAGAGCGGTGAATAAGGTCGAAGCAGGCTCGCTTATCTCTATCCAGAGCGCACTACACACCAATAATCTCACCCTAATCTCACACGCTCATTGGTCCAGCACCAGATACACAACCGCGACTTGCAAAAGCGAAGCAATGCAGTGAACTGCCATGGTAAAATCACCGACTTGTTGCGGACCTAACCTTCGGACGCTGCACTGTTGCGACAGTAGCGCCGCTCTCAAAAGTGAGTTTGAAGACTCTTGGCACAGCTACATAGGTGTCGCCCCAGACTGTTCCCCAGCCGTCAGCTAGCCAGCTCAGTTGTTGACGGTCGGCTGGCCGCGAAGACCTCCGCCGGGTCGCGCAGCCTTGGTTCTGTCAATGTTGACCTGCGACTGCAGGTTCGGTGGCAGACGCTCGTACACCTCCTCAGGCACGTCATCTGCCGGGAAACACGGGGGCAGTCGTTTAGTCAAGGTACCATAGGTTAAAATCATGCGTAAAATTGGGGGTCTGGAGCAGACGGGGCTCACGTCAGGGATTTCAGACATAAATTGTGCTTTAGGCTAGCACTTACGAGTGTTCTTATTACATTTTTAGTTGAAAAAAAAAAAACATTGATACTCTACATCGCATCTATTTATCTACCCTTTTCTTGGAAGCCGTTTTTCTATGACGTTATTCGTTTGCTTGAGAGCAAGTTTCCATTGTCACGCCGCTCTGCAGTCTCGTGTGCAGTTCCACCTACCGTTACACCGGTAGACCAGGTCGGACCAGATGATCATCTCCTGTGAGAAGCAGAACACGCCGATCCGGCCTCCCTTGAGCGTGCTGTCGTAGATGTTACCGGAGTCGGCCACCAGATACTCGCCCTGTGGACAGACCATATATATGGTGACTTCAGATCGGTCACGGTGGTTCATAAAGAACAACACATGTAAAACATGTAAGTGGGCGATTTAGTTCAACGCCAGTGGGTAACGAAACTTGCGTAACGTTAATTGATTTATTTAAGTTCCAATTCAATAGAAATACCTATTAATCGAGCACCGGACACTCTGATAGTCTTCTCGCAATCGTTCATATGATCAAAGTATTGCCTCCAAATCGGTTGGTTTGGATAAACAACAAGCCAAATAAGCAATCGTATTGAATACCGATGTTAACACGGTTATCGTCATAACTAAAACCACAGTGCCTGACCACAGATTCCTACGCCTCCGTTTTCGCATCGCGTCACCAGTTTACTCGCAGACCCAAACGACTCTAGTCGTTTACAGGAGTATCCGCCGCCAGTTGGGTCACATACCTCGTAAATCCTGAGCCGGATGAGCCCGATCTGTGGCCGGTGCAGCAGCAGCCAGCGGTAGGCCGTCTTCTCCTTCCAGCCCACGTTCCGGGGGTCCTTCCAGAGCAGCCGAACCTGCGCCAGATCGGAGGGAGTATAAGATTGGCAAAATGTCACAGAAGCTCGTTTTCTGAAAAGGAGGAAGTAGGGATGAAAAATAAATAAATAACAGTGGGACTAGACGAGGCCTGGTGACGTGAGATGTTATTGAATTCTTGCCTGAAGATTGTGACTGCATTCTAAAGAATGTTTTTTCAGGGCACATTTTTTAGGAACAAGGACTACGGAGGCACGGTTGTACGAGCATACGCTAGTTGGTGACGAAATACTGATGCCCTAAGCATCCTTTCCTACGACTAGCCTCTCAGAGACTCTTTTCAGGCGTATTTGGGGCAGACGTGGCCTCAGCGCGTGACCCGACAGCGCAACGCCAACGTAGCCTCAGCGCGTGCTCCGGCGGCCCTACCCTCTATGAGCGGTAATCACCTGGTCAAACGTGTCTCCGGTGTGCCAGAGGGCGTTGCGCATCATCTGGCCGGGTCCCGTGCTGGAGTTGACCACCTTCAGCTGTATGCCCGGCTCGGCCACGGCGCGGAACGGAGTCGGGAGCCAGTACGTCTGCGTGCTCTTCTTCCACATCACCGTGTAGAACTTCTTGTTGTCCTGGTAACTGTTGGAGGAGTGGAGGGCGATGGTTCGGTTAGATCTACTCGGGGTGAGTATCAATGTTGACATCATTCTCATATCGATAATGGTTGGAGTACCCTGAATATCCCGAATGGTTGAGATTATATGAGATGCAAGACATTTTTATAATTAAAGTCACTTAAAAAAATTAAATAACATGTTACCTGAACACGAATCCTACGTAATCGTCGTCAACGGTTGTGTCAATGAAGAATGTGCCCTCGAAGTCGACTCCAGCAAACGTGTTGAATCCTGACAAAATTAATAAGGCGTGAACAATGCAGTCTTTAAAGGTAGTGTGCCAGCTTTCTTGGACCGTATGGAGTTAATGGCCCAGATAAGGAGAACCGGATTTTTAGAACTTATCCATACCTACCTTCAAAACTCATGGAAACGTCTTAAATTCTTCAAATTTTGAGTACCCCAGTGCGAAATTCGCCCCGACGGGTTGTTGGTCGTACCCCAACCACATTTCACACCACTATGAACAATAAATGCACACACTGAAATCGCTATTACCGATAGTCTCATCCAATCAAGTTTCGATAAACCCGTTCATCATCATCTCCTGCGGTTTCGAACACGCCTGTTAGGTGGCTTCTGATGCTCGTCGAGGTCGGAATTTCCAAATACGCGTGGTGCGTCGGGCCGCGCGCTCTGACTTCGGCCAAGAAAAATGCGTCAGCTGATCATTGTCATTTCTGCCACTTGCGTGTGGTGAAATGGGGTCATAACTTATAAGACGGCTTTTTCATATCAATTATTTACATAAAATCATTTTTCAAACCATAAATAATGTTCGACAGCCAAATAAAAGAAACAATACCAATACGGGCTTACAGTTTAAGGCTCGACATTGTGTTGTCGCTTGTGTTGTCTACGATTAGACAGCTGATAACTCATTCCCGTACGTCGTATGGTCGTAACACTATAATGACCTTTGCTTATTGTCACAAGTGCGCCGCATTCGCGATTGTTGCCCGACGCCTGTTTGCAGGTGAGCCCACTACAGTTGTTATACATATCTAAAAACCGATAAACTTTTAGGCGAAAAAGGCACTATTCCAGGCCCATTTTTGATTTTTTTTGCGATATTAGGTAAAAACAGAAGCTTCTTATCCTAGGAAAAATAAAATGGGAAATCTTTCAAAGGTGGCACACTACCTTTAAAGATCACAGAAACACACTGAGCTGCTTGGTACATAATTGTATGTATATAATTCGGAAATTAACAGGACATTTCCGGTAATAGACCATTGTCCAAGAAAAAGATTGTCAACACAAGCGATTTCTTGGAGCTACGATTATCTCGCTTGGGCGTGCCTTTTGCTAGCACGCAATGAAGAAAATTACTTCATCAAACACTGAAACTACGGTAAAAGTGCACACTTACAGTTCACCATTTCATTTTACTTGTTTTTATTATTATTATTATTCTTTTTTTGAATGAGCTGAAGGTCTATCATTTATTCATTGACCGATAGCAGTGTTAATTGGTGCAGAGCTCACCGACAGCCAGTCCCGGGTCACTGTTCATGGTCTGCACGATCTCGGCTCCCTGGTTGTAGATCACCCAGTTGGGGTCCTTCTGGGACTCGCCGAACGGATCCAGCACCACCGTCTGATACGACCTGCGATAGGACGGGGAGGGTTAAGGATGTCCTGGGGTAAATGGTGGATAATAATGCACTAAATACGAAAATCATAGCGGGAACGACACACGCACCAGAAGTTTTGCTATTGCAAAACACGGTCTATCACTTTGGAGACGTCAAAAATCCTTCTTGCTACTGCATGGCAGCAATCACGATAATCGCAAAAGTTCTTCCTCATACGCCTCAATCCGATCCCCTCCCTTGCTCTCTCACCTGAAGTCGGTGGCGTAGATCTGCGAGTTGTTGGGACAGTTGTCGTATTTATCGATGACGTTATCTCCGTCGGTGTCCTTGTCGCAGATGTCCCCTCTGCCGTCCCGGTCGCGGTCGGCCTGGTCCGGGTTGGGCCGCAGTGGACAGTTGTCTCGGCTGTCGATAATGCCGTCGTTGTCGTCATCGTCGTCGCAGACATCTCCGCGCCCGTCGCGGTCTGTATCCACTTGGTCGGCGTTCGGAATCTCCGGGCAGTTGTCACGGTTGTTTTGGATGCCGTCCCTGCCGGAGGAAAGTTAGCAATGTTGGTGTCAATGGCGGTGAGAGAGTGCATTTCGGTAGGAAAGTTGTCCGTGATTGAAGGGGAAGTTTTTAGGCGGGTAGGTAGTTGTCTCACAGCGTTTGGTCCGCAAGGATATCGACACGGCAGCAAGAACTAGAGTGACTGGTGCCATTAAGAAGTCAGTTTTTACACAGCTTTATCGGCTGCTGGCATCATTATCAGTCATGTTGTTTGAATAACCAAACACCTCGAAAAATCAATACATTCTTTTTATCCTACTGTCACTCGTCATTCCAAGATAACGTCATAGTGTAATAAATAACTGGTGTTATAGTGTTATTTATTACACTATGATAACGTTAACCCTCGCCGGACCTATTGGTTTTCTACATACGCGCCGGCCGAGGGGGCCCCCTCGCTGTTTCGCCCCTGGTGGAGCTAGCGCGTCGCGGAAAAAAACGAGCGTGTGCGCTGTTACAAGACGCAGAGATTGGTACCCGCTTTTAACCCGCGCCCCGCTGGGCTATTCAGCCATACGCGCCCTGCTGGGGGGGGGGGGGGGCAGATTCTGCCCCCCTGTCTAACTTCCGAACCGTTGGTCGTAGAAAGACGGGGAAAACGGCAATCGAAAGCTCTCAACAAGGCGGATCTTAAGTGCCCAAATTTTTTTGCTTAAGTAGGTCAGAGGTCAGGTCAAGGTCAGGTCAAGGGTACAAAATGCAAGTTTCTACAGTATCGGCCTTGCACCGTAGTTGCCGAAGAATGGACGGAGACTGATTGCCCAAAACGTGTTCTTAGACTACCAAGACAATATTTGTTGCACACAATGTCATTCAAAGGTCAAGGTCAAGGTCAGGTCAGGTCAGGTCAGGTCACCAAAAACAAAATATAGAAAAGGGCATGTGCGACACATGTTTTATGGGTCATTTTACTCATGGAATTCAATAGGCACACTCAATAAGTGATATGGACCACCTCTGGATGAATTTCAGGTCGAGGTCAGGTCAAGGTCAGGTCAAGAGGGGTCAAATTTTGAAGTTGGTTGTTAAGGCCTAAAAAGGTGTCTATCCGATGCAGTTTTTCACGGCGAATCGAATGGTGCTATTTTTATTTCCGTACGAGGTCTAGAACTTCCAAAAAAATCATTTTTCAAAATTTTTGTGTGTCGTGACGTCATAAAATTTTGAATAACTCCCACATTTTTGAACCGATTCTTCTAAAAATTGGTATGTAGGTGCACATAGACCACTTCTTTGACATATATTCCGGTTTTTTCGATAAACTCAAAATTTTGGATTTTATAAATATTTTCCCAAAAAAGTCAGTTTTTTGGAAAAAATTTGGCCAAAATCCAAAATTTTCAAAAACCGAGATAGCCATTTGATAGACGAAGTAGAATCACGTATAACCTTTTTTGTTACGTCCTGATTCCTTTAAAAATGAAGAAGTTAGCGGCGTTTGAAATTTTGCCGTTTTTTAGGCGAAAATGGCGAACATGACGTCACTAAAACGTCAATTTCTCAAAAAATTTTCCGACGGATTTCGCTCAAATTTCCAGGGAACGTGTCAATTTGATGTATGATAAGGTACTGAAAGTTTGACGTCGCTGGCGTAACGCGTTTAGAAGTTATTGGCGAAAAACGGGAGGGGGGGCAGATTCTGCCCCCCCCAGCGGGGCGCGGGTTAAGGTCCTAGGTCAACCGGTGACCTCTGCGGTCAGGTCAAGTGCCCAAAGGTACGGTTCAGTTTTTGGTGAATAACTTGGCAAAAACGGCCACAGAGCCGCGATTTTGGCAGCATCGTGTTCGCCTCGCTCAGGCGCGTCGAATGATATACTTTTTGTTTGGGTCAGGTCAACTTAGGGTGTTGACCTCAGGTCACGGTCAGGTCAGCGCCCCCAGGTCACGAATTTGGTCAAAAGAGGTCATGTCGCATATCATTCGATTCGGCAGGTCTTCCTGAGTCCATTGGTGGCTTTCCCGACTCGCTAGCTCAATTTGATAGGGAGTTATTGACGAAAAACTAATATGACCTTGATGACGTCATAAATGACGTCACGCAAGGTCAACATTGCAAAAGTGACGCATCTAACCTTGCAAGGAGTGCATCAAATCACGATTCTGTGTGCTTGAGAGAGTTGGAGATCGTTCCCGGCGCCAGAATAGCAGTTTTTATTTTCCCCATTGACATAGGTATAATGGTGAAGTCACGAAAATGACCTGACCTCATATGACCTTTAGAGGAAAAATCCGAGATATACAAGTTGTGTGACTCGTAATGGATACTAGATCATGCAAGTTTCATTTCCCTGTGACAACTCCTCTGGTAGTCAGGGCGTTGCGAAGTTGCGACATCTGAAGACCGTGCAGAGGTTCACTTATGACGTCATAGGTCAGTGACCTGACCTGACTCGAAAATGCAGTTGGTGTCAAAAGATCCGGCTTGAATCAAAGGTCAGGTATGCCAAGTTTCAGCTCTCTATCGCCAGCGTGTTTGGAGCTATATCGAAAAAACCCTATGGGGGGCGGCACCCGCCCCCCCCCCCTCGGCCGGCGAGGGTTAATCTTGACCGTAACACTTCGTCCCTCCACCAGCCGTTCCCAAGTTCCACCCCTTGACTACCCCGCTCCTCGCCACCTCCCCATCCCATTACTACTACCACATCCCCCTCCCCTCCCCTCTCCCCACCTGTCGACGTCGTCGTCTGTGTCGCAGGCGTCTCCGACCAGGTCGCGGTCCTCGTCCCTCTGGTCCGGGTTGGAGACGGTCGGGCAGTTGTCGCAATCGTCGCCCAGACCGTCGCTGTCCCGGTCGCGCTGGTCCGGGTTCGGATTCTTCGGACAGTTGTCGTTCTCGTTCAGAATACCTGCCGGGAGGGAGCGTTAGTGGGTGAGGTCAGTTGAGGAGAAACAAATTTGAAGTGGAAAGACGCTCATGGAGAACATTAATAATTAGAACTCATAGTCAACATAAATAACATACACATGCGTCATGCGCTATCGCCACTCACGGCAACAGGCGGTAGCGTATCTGTTCTGTAAGCCAGTTTGGAGCGTGAGGTGATCCCACATTTTAAACCGTCCAAAATCTGCACCATGAGCAGCCTGGCGGCCTGGTGCAGCACGATCAGGCGTTTGGCAGCCTGGTCCCCAAACAATTTTTTCTTCAAATTGTTTTGCCGTAAGTGAAAGATAAGCTTGCTATGAATCACTTGCTAGCTCTCTCATAGGGGAGAGTGGGGTAAAGCGGCCACCCGGGGCAAAGCGGCCACCCATCGTTTTAGCCCTTCGTAGCTGGCGTCAGTTCCAATTTATGGTTTCCAATTATACTTCTCTTCACGGTCGTTCGAATGAGCCAGACCGGGGTTTCAGGCCCATCACCATTGTTCTGTGAAACACGGAAAAGCATTTCTTGCCAGGTTACCAACTATGTTTACAATTTTCAAATGTTATGTTATTCCATAACCGTTTGAATTTTTTTATAAGCGTTCTTGTCGATGCATTGCATGGTTATTGTAGCGGGGCTCGGCTGCAAGAGATTTATTTGTTTGTTTGATTTGCGAGGCTGGTCAGTCACTGGCGGACACATAGACTGCTACACTGATGGAGTGGGCAATGGGGTTAAGTTGGAATGCAAAAAAAAAGGATTTCTGACAAGGTTACCCTGATAAATCTCTCTTCCCGATCAAAGGATTAAAATAAACAAAAGTTCATTACATTGCAAACTTCCATTAACTGCACAGAGGGGCGCCTCCCACTGGATATAACCATTCATGCTCACATTCACACCATCATGCACACTTTCCTTTCATACATATTAAAACACCAGGTCGCTAAACTGGCCCCTCCCTGTTTACCTAACCTCCCCCAGTGGTGTACAGTAGCCGTTGGTAAGCATGCGTCAAAACCTTTGTCCTTTACCATTATACATGATCTCTGGAAATTTCCTCCTTAGAATGTACGTCAGTTGCTTGGTAAAATGTATTATTCCCATTCGACTGCTATAGTTCTCTCTTAACTTAAAGCTCGCCCCTAAAAAAATACAACCCTTCCCAAAATACTCATTAACTCCGACCGGCTTTACTCACCTTGCGATTTCCGTTTACAATTAACCAATATGGCTCAATCATCATAGATAATACCGATCGAGTGACAATAACATACACGTCATACCTTGTCGGATCTTGGCCCTCCCCTCTTTCTGATATCTACGGCAGCGGAGGCCTAAAACCCTAACATTAAACGCCCCAGTCACATGATCGACGCAAGACGGGCTAAGGGTGCGTGGCGGCACGATGTGAACAAGTGCTGCCGCCGTCTTAGTGCCGACATGTGATGGGCCTAACCCGCACGTCGCCGGTGGTGCGGCCGTGCCCTACCTATCCCCCGGGTCATAAAACTGTCAGTTAGGTTCCGCAGGTAACACTACACCGTAGGTTCTATGAGGGACATAACCTATCCTTTTGCCGGAGTGAGATTTTAAAGCAGGCCGGATTTCCCTGCTTTTTAGAGGGTCCAACCCTCCTTCCGAATCACTCCGGGTGGCCGAAATTTAAGGACGACTCAGCAACTTCGCCCCGTGGTGCTCTTACCGCGCCAAACCACGCCCGTGGGGTATTCCATCTTCCCACACACCCCGGGTCCCTTCCCGCCCAGGGGCCTTGGAGCAGCCGGACCTATCTGCCACTACCCCGCATCTGGCCGGAGGGAGTACTTAGTGCACCTTTCTGGAGCCCTCCCTCTTCCAGGATCTTGAGACCAATAATAATGCATCTTTCTGACGCGCTAGTCTCCCCCCCCCCCCTTCGGGACGCCACCCGAGTTTCTACACGGCCTTCGAGTTACCGCCCTTCTCTGGACCCCGATATCCCGGCCGTTCCCTCCCTAAACTGCCGTCGCAGACCCTACTCGAAATGACCAACGCGCGCCCATGGCTACGTGGCTGCCCGCGACATGGCCAGTGTCGGCTCGCAGCCCTCACATGGTTCGCACGCGTGGTATATATTGTTACCTGGTCGGCCCCGGAACTCAAGCCGGTTTCCCGCGCCACTCCGGCGCAATACCCTTCCTATATCTCCCTGAATACCTTCCCGCGCTATACCTGCGCAATAATTAGCAGCGTGACCAGGTCCTACCCAATTCCGTTCTCGTGACCTGCTGGTGAGCGGTTTCCTGCGGTGGACTCCGTTCGGCAGGACACGCCGGATACATCCTAACTTTTTTATCATCGGAGTGGGGAGTTATAGGCGGGCGGGATGCTTCCTGCCTGAGGGGTATACCGATCCATGCCGATCGACCCTCGCTTTGGAACCACTCCGGCGGCCGAAATGTTGACGAACGGGTAAACAATCCCGTACGGTGGCTCTCTCCGCGACAATCCACGTTCGTGAGACGCTGCGCCCTCACGCAATACCGGGGAAAACTCACACCCTGAATCGAACATTCATGCATGAGAACCTCCCGTAATCGAGCAACACTTTCTGTGTCCCTCTGAACTGGTCATTGGGGAGATATAAGATCTGAAAGGCACCGTTCTGGCACCTCCCCAAAGCCAGGTGGTGCGACGGCCTGTACACTCATCGTGAATGCTCCGTCGCACCCCACCGGTTTCCCGCCTGAGTCATCAGGACTTAAAAGTTCCTTGAAACTTAGCCGAGACCAAGACACGGCTATTTATTTTGCCCGACTTACGCCGTAGAAACATCCAGAGGGGCATTTGACGAGCCAGATCATTCAAACGTAAGAGCATGTTGTTTGAGTCACTTGGGTCGTCGTCACTGTCTACGGAATGATGTTGAACCTTTGCCCGAAATACGTTTGTCTCGAAATGACTCAGAGTAAAACGCGCACGAAATAATCAAGTAACGAAATTATCTATATCTAACTACCTTAGGACGGAGAACCTACGAAACAAGCCCACAGAGCCGACCTCCTTAGTGTCCAGCACCCAATAACCAAATTTACTACTTCCTCGTCTCATACCCTTGAATTGTAACCGTAACTCCCCGACCTCCTCTTGGCCCAGAAACCCAACGTCCCGACCTCCCGGTGGCCTTACTCGTACCTGACCTGTACCCCCCATTAGTCCGGCCTTCCTACCCTTTTACTACCTTGGCTCTCTATAACCTTCCCTGTGAACTGTAATCTCGTTCTGACTCGGTACCAACTTAAACGAGCACTGAAATACATTTACCATAGTTTAGACATTCAATAGCTTAATTTAAACTCTCCTCCCCACTCCCATCTCTCATCAGTGAAGTAGTCGCGTCGGTGGGCTTATCACACACAGGGGTGCCACATGCATAGACAGCCTCGCAGCCCCTAAGCATTGCGTTAACCCATGTATCCCATCTTTGTATCACTTATCCCCATACCTGGCTCGTAATCCCTCCTTAAGTATCCCATCCTAAAAAAAAAAACATAAAAAAACATAAAAAACAAAACTACGACCATGTTCGCCCTTAACATACTGAAATTACCACTGCTGCCGACACAGAATCTAAGAAAGCAGGGCCCTACGCACATCGGTCGCTGAACCGGGTTTCGAACTGTAATCAATGACGTCATCAAAGGGTCGGAATGAGACTTTTACTGTTCTCAGAAGCGCGCGCGTATGAATGGTGCACCCTGCGCCGGCATGTCGAGAGTCCTGTGTCAATGACGTCACTTATCGATGGTCACGGCAAGGGTAGTTCCGATGACGTCATCAAAGGTTCCAAACGAGTCCTTTTCCTACTCTCCAATGTAAATGCATATGAATGGCATGATTAGCCCGACGTACCGAGGGCTCCGGGCCTATGACGTCACTCATCTGAGGGCACTGTTGGCATTAGGCCCATGACGTCACGAGGATGATCGACGTGAGTTCCTTGGTCACCATGAATAGTGGGCGCGGTCCGGGAGAGCACGCGTGGGCCGGGGCTATAACACCCGTCAAGTGCACAATTGGAGCGGTCTGCATGGCCCCGGAGGGCACCGATCGACAAAAGCTCCTTTCACATTGCCTGAGGGCAGATGTCACGCCCCTGACAGAGATCGGCCAGCTCGGCAGGGAGCTTTGCAGCTCTTTACTGGGATAGAACCAGTAGCTGCCCATACCGCACCACCTCCGCCCCTCTGGGACGGACTCTGCTCCCCGCTGGCAGTTAATCCCCTTTAATGATCGCTCGCTGGGGTCGGGCGGCTGCCTTCTGCTTGAGAATGGCGCGGGACGTCATGCCAGCCTGTGTAGGATGGCCCTCTGGACCGTCTCCAGGAAGGGGTGATGCTCTATTACTCCACGGGGTGGCGCGCAGAGCATATTTGGCGATGATCGGTGCCGCGCATCACCCAGGCCATAGTGACGTCATTCAGGGGTGACCGTCGCACTGGACCACCCGTCAACTCGGTCGGCCAGCTCGGCAGCGAGCTCGGCAGCGGGCTAACTGGACTGGAGGCACTAGCCGTCCATACGGCACGGTCGTCCGCTGTTCCCCTCTTGGGGTCTCCCCGGCTAGACGGCGGCGTGTCCTGACCCGGCGCCGGCCGGCTGGTATGCGCTAATGACCTGTCGCCGCCGCGACCCGAGCGGACAATGAGGATTATCGGGGCGGGCGCCGGCCCGGCACGATGACTGCTCGACTGCGGGGACCGCTTCCATCTGACCCGACGACACACTATTATGAGTGCGGCGCGCTGGACACCGATCGTACTGATCATTTACAATCGTGATTCCTCCCGTGTTATGTAAACAATCGACACCACTCGCAATGGAGGGACCTTTCAGGGCAAAATGAACGGGAAGGCGAAAGATAAAGGAGAGAGGGAGAGAGAGAGAGAGAGAGAGAGAGGAGAGAGGGAGAGAGAGAGAGAGAGAGAGAGAGAGAGA